ATATTTGTTCCACATCTACTTTCTATGTGAATTTGTACTAGGTGATGGGTATATGTTGAAAAATAAAACAGCTCCTGACCTCAGGGATCCCCTAGTGTAGTTGAAGAGAAATGCAGATACACAAGGGAGACGTTTTAATACCTAAATTTTATTGAGCCATTATTTAGTGCTAGATGGGGTACTGAGTTCTTGTATTAAGTCGTCGCAGTAGCCCTAAGGGGTAGATACTACTATTATCATTATTTCACAAATGAGTACCTGGAGGCTTCTCCCAGGGTCAAGCTAGCACATGAATACCTAGAACTTAAGCCTGTATGTCTTGGAAGGCAAACCGAAAGCTCCTTCACACTGCACTGTCTTGAACCTACAATTCTAGATAGTGAAAGAAGGTGCTGTTATTGAGGTGAGATCTAGGTTCAGTAGTAGGCACACATAAAGGCCTGATGGAGCCCGAAGGCCAGACAGGGGCAAGCATGGAATAAAATTTGGGATGTGACCTTGAATTATCTGGAACAATGCTAATAAGCTTGGCTCCCCTACCTGGTGTGAAAGATGACATGACAACTTAGAGTTTTTATATTGAAGAAACTAATGGCCATGGAAATCTTTCTTTTACTTAAAAAAATTTTTTTACAGTTTTATTGAGGGATGACTGATCAGCAAAAAATCCTGCCCATATTATATACAATTTGATGAGTCTAGACATGTGCATGCACCTGTGATACCTTCAACACAGTCATCATACATTATTTTACTTTGCGCCATCTCCCCAGTGGCTCCAAGGCAGAAGTATTAATCTCCCTCTCTTATGGATGAGTAAACCAAGGCTCAGGGAGGGTGAGCACATTTGCTGTGGTCACTGTCCACCAAGGGTCAGCGCTGAGATTGCACACAGATTTGTTTGCCTTCACACCGTAATCTACATGTTACCCACTGCACTTTTCCAACTGTTTTCCAAGAGCACTCCAGTTGACATTATATACAGAGCTCAAATTCACTTGGTTGACAGTTATAAATTCACATGCAGATGTACGATTTCCTACGTCCCAGTACATGCAGAACACTCTGTAATCCCGTTATTAAACGTTTACTAGAAATGTGCTTCTGCCTGATGCACAATTGCCAGCCTCAATGTTTAATTAAACTAGATTTGTTTTCATTTGAATCACATTAGAGAAATGTGTTTTTCTCAGAGTGCAGTGATGAAGTCTTCATTTCAAATGCCTCCAAGTTTCTGAAAACTGTGTATCCCAGAGGACGGGATGAGGGTATCACAACCTATCCTTGCATAAAATATTTTAGGAGAACAATATTAACGACAGGTAAGACTGGGATACACTATTTGTTGTGGAATCCTCATAGCATCCTGGAAAGGGGTTCTATTAATATTACCATTTTAGAGATGAGAAAACTAAGACTGAGTGGTTAAACTACTCCAGTATTGCACAGCTAGTGGCAGAACCAGCATTTGCATGTAGACAAGGAAACCCTGATACCTTTATTTAGATTAGAGATCACCAAAGCTTTTCCCCCAAAGGTCAAATAACAAGTAGCATAGGCTTTATAATCCCATGTTATGAATATAAATAGTATATTTGGCTATTTCATAAACTTTAATATAAATATGATTTGCATGTCTTTGTTGCAGTTATTCACCTCTGCTGTTAAAGTGCAAAACCTACTATAGACAATACATAAATGACTGGGCCTGGCTTTATTCTAAGAAAACTTTACAAAAGCAAGCTGTGATGAGCCAGATTTGCTCATTAGTTGTAGTTAGAAGGACCTCTGATTTAGATCACAGATACTTGGAAGCCTACAGCTTCAAAAGCATTTGGAAGCGTACAGTTTTTACTAATTCATCAGCTTTATTTTGAGAATTGCCTTATCTCTGTTTGGAATAAAGAGAGCAAGAGAATGTCTAAGTGGATGATCGAAATCCCTAAGTGGATGATCGAAATGCTGGTTCTGCCACTAGCTGTGCAATACTGGAGTAGTTTAACCACTCAGTCTTAGTTTTCTCATCTCTAAAATGGTAATATTAATAGAACCCCTTTCCAGGATGCTATGAGGATTCCATAACAAATAGTGTGTCCCAGTGTATACAGGATAGTACTACCCTGTATAGTGACATAGACGTACTGGTGAGGTTAATTCAGGACAAAGAAATAAAGGGATACAATACATAAGAGACACAGGCACTGCATTTACGTATACTTAAAAATGACAACAAAACAGCTAAATACCATTATTCCAGTTCAACACCAAAGATAATAGATTCAATTCTGTCTTCATTTGTATTTTGCCATACCTTGCTTAGAGCAAGATTTGAAGATGACACACAGAAAGCATTGTCTCTTTAGTTCTGTTACTTCTACTTAGTAAACTGTGGTGACTTAAATACACCCCTCTCCCCTAAAAAATAGTGCATATTTTTAAATTCAAGAATTATGATTAGGCACCCTAGTCTATTTCTCATGGCCCTTATGCATAAAGGTGCCAGTTGATGCCTCGCATTGATCTTTTCTCCTATCCTCTCCCCGATAAGTCTGTCTTCTAATTCTGAGAGAGCAGTCCCTTATCATCTCAGCATTGGTTGTCCCTATCTTGCTGCTGAGAGCTTCCTGCTTGAGCTTCAGTTACGTTTTCCAGCCATTGGTCTGCTGTCCTGAGGATGGACTAGCCCACTTTAGAAGTGGCTCAGCCCTCTTCCTGCTGTTGAGTTTTAGAGATTTTAGAATCAGATCCCCTGTTTATTAAAGCAACAAGACCAGGCTATCAGTTTTTATAGATGTGCATATGCCTAAAAGCATGTACTGTTTAAAATAAATTTTCACCTACATCCTCCCCTTCCCTACCACCCCTGGTAACCACTATTTTACTTTCTGTGTATTTCCTTTTTTTTTTTTTTTGGTTCCACATGTAAGTGAAATTGTCTAGTATTTTTTTTTTCCATACAAAGCTATAAAGGATGAATAAGTCTAGAGAGCTAATACGCAGCATAAGGACTATATTTAATAATATTGTATTAATATTTTATATGGATAATTTGCCAAGAGAGTAGATTTTAGGTATTCTTACCACAAAGAAGGAAGGAAGGAAAGTGAGAGAAATGATTACTATATGAGATGATAGGTATGTTGCTTTGCTTGACTACAGTCAATTCACTGTTTATATCAAGATTAAATATACCAAAACATCATATATACCTTAAATATATACATTTTTTAAAAGGAAAACTGAAGCACACTGGGTTTTTATTTACAAAATAGGGACCCCCTTCGCAGTTTGCTGACCACAATATTGACTACAATTAAGTCATTCAAGTTCTAGCTACCAGAATAGGAGGCATATGCCACCAGATTTGGCTCTACAGCTCAAAAAAAGTGGCCACAGTTTTCTTAATCCTATTTTTAAAAGGAAACAAACGTAAATATTAAACTGTGCAACTTAGGTTTTTGGAACTTTCTGACTTCATTGATTGCATATACATAACAGAAATATAAGTTATAATAAAATATAAGAAATATGCAGTATCCTTGACAAGCGTTGACTATAAATATTCACTTTTATAACAAAATAAAAATATTTACTATTAACTTGTAATCTTTTACTTAGAGATTTTTTAATTGAAACAGATATGACTTTATTAAGAGATGTTTTATATTGGTAAGATGATTCTTTATTGGTCTCAAAGGGTGGATTTCCAAGTATAATTAAACAAAATGATATGTGGGAGGAAGAAGATTTCAGTAGCCTTGACAGAAAAATAAATCTAAGATATATATAAATGTAAAATAAAGTAAATCTAAAATCTAAGACCGCCAAGGTTTAGAAATCTTATTACTTCATTTTTATACCTGTATAAAACTGTTGTGAGGTGCTGACTGTTTCCAATAAAATAAAAATGTATGCAAGTAAAATACAAGCTAAAATAGAACTAAAATGCTTTTAGACTTTCAAAATGAATAGCTGGATTATTTTATTGAATTTTCTCTGTGGTATGGGTGTCACTGGAGCTCTAGAATTGGTAAAAATAAAGGCAATCCACAGAAAGAAAATATATTGTTTTCAGGGAACAATTGTGCTCTCCTGGAGGAGGCAAATCAAGTGAAATCTAATAGTCTTGCTTCATTTTGTGACTTTCTCCCACTATGACCTCAGAATTTTGAGCTTCAAGTAGGTCTATAAAGGGAATTTTGGAATACTCTTAATAGATCTGTTCTTGAAATAACTAAACTGAGTGAGGTGCTTTGCCAACACATTAACTGAGAGCACTGACCAACCCTGATCCCAGACCTTCACCAACAATACTCTCGTTTTATTTCCATTTTCAGTAGTGGTGTATAATTCTTCTAAGAGACTTGTTCTAAGCCAACCTTCCTAGTGGTCTTGTTGAAATGAGATAGTGGTGGTAGGTATCTGTAATGAACACACAGGCCAAAATAATATTGAACTATTCAGAAAGTAAATCTAGCTTGTTCTGTGGCTGCATAATTATATAACTATAACTTTCAATCAGGTTACAGTGGGTTTAATTTTCTGATCGAATGAAACAATCGATATAATTGTACTTTGTTCCTCCCTCTTCTGGCTTTGATTCTTTGATTGGTGCCACTCTTCACTCTCAGTCTTCCAGTCTGTCCCTACTCCACTGGCCTCTGCAGCTACTCAGAATAAGCAAGCTGTTGATGAAAGGGACCAAGAGTTTGAGCAATTACTGTATGCTTTCATATCTCACTGCCATTTGGAAGTAAAGTCCCAATTGACATAGCCAAACTGCAGGAGCAGAAGCAACTCTAATATCTGCTTTTCTTTGTTTACAGAAACTGCTCAAATTCTCCTCTAAAAGTACTCATTAAGCATGCCTCTCTATAAATTTCTGTGGTAGAAACTGGGTAATAGGATTTGAACCATTATTCAGTCAAACCACATTTAAATCCAACGGTTAAGTAAAGAGGAAATCTACATATATCTTTACTCACTGTATTTAGTATATATCTTCTGTAATTCACAATCCAAAGTAAATCTTTGAATGGCCTTTTTGGGTTTTGGCTAGAGGAGAAATTTCAACCCTTGTTCAGAAGTCTAACTACTTGTGAGGATTCCAATGTGATTTTTAAAAGCCGCCATCCCTGATCATCAGAAATCTGCAGCCTTTTTTCTCACCTGTCCACCTCTTGTCCTAATTACACCTATACTTGCTAATGTTGTAAGTGCTTTTTGACAAGACAGTAATGGTACATCAATAGGTACTGCATGAACTTGAGTAGGCAAATCAAGTCACTCAAAGGGCTTCTTTTAATCTCTTGGATCATTATTGCAAAGATAAAAGCAGGGTTCTGAAGGAGTGAAATTCAAAGGAACCTAGTAATTAGAATGGTGAAAATAGGAGGTCACCTGGCCATTTCCCTGCTTGGTTCAGACGTTTCTATGCAATATGGACTAGTTTAATTTTATTCGTCTAATTTAAAATGAGAGACTTTATCTTTCTTCCACCAAGGTAATAGATCTGATTTCTCCTCTTTGACTTAAATTTTTTTTTCCTTCACATCTTTTATTATTAGGGATGTCAGCTGAAATTATTTTGAATAATTTCTTTAAATCATGGATTTTTTTTCCTTATATCTCAAATCTAGGGCTATTTCTTGTTGCAAGGTGCAAGGTTCTATGCCACATACAAAAGCATGCTTTCATTTGAGATATTTATAAAATCTCTGTATACACCCATACCTAGCAATGGGAAAATATAAAAAGTATTGCCTTTGCCCTAGCACGTAGTTAATATGCAATGAAAATCTTTAAATGTAAAATCACCTATAATCATTAGATATATATTTTTAATGTCGTATTAAATAGCTAAAAGAAGGAAGAGGCATTGCTATTTTATGTATCTATCTCAAATGTTATAAAGGTTATAAGAACCTTATTGAACATCAGAAGCTTCAAAGCTAATAGTTTGTTGGATACCTGCATCTTCTGAGGTGGCCAATAGTTGTCAACTTTTTGAGTATTCTTGAACACTTAAGATTTGTCAGTGTTTGGTTTCGTTGCGTGTTGAGGAGGGAATCATGGAAGTAGAATGGAGTAAAAAGCTTAAAAAAGAAAAAGCACTGCCTCTAACGTGATTTCAATTTCACAGGAAAAAATACCTTAAGGACTAACAGTCAGTGCAGAGTAGTGGCATCTGGATGCCAGATAAGTATTTAACGTTTGTAGATAATTTTGCATCATCATTCGGCTACTTTCTTAAAAGTGTTTTTTAAAAGCCCTAATTTAAAAAAAATGCTATTCTGGCCAACACATTTACAACGTGAATAATATTTGAGTCATGACATAACTATAAGTTACTTGTAATGGTTGATTGTCACTTGAGTTGTAAATCACAGCGGTTAGCAATGGTAGTTGTCCTTACTTGTGTTAACCCCTAGGTCCTTGGATCTTGATCATTTTTGGGTCTTTGCTCTAGAGTCTAGCTGCCATTCATATGCTAAAGAGATGAGGTCACTCAAATATCAGCTATAACATCCTAGGGAAATGATTTCTAAACTCTTCTCAATGAGTTTAAAAAGGCTGCTTTTTGCTAATCCATAAACTTTAAAAGTGGCTGAAGAGGCAGTACATGCCTTTTAAAAGCCGAGGTTGCAGGCTGGGCACAGTGGCTCACACCTGTAATCCCCAGCACCTTGGGAGGCCAAGATGGGTGGATCACTGGAGCTCAGGAGTTCAAGACTAGCCTGGACAACATGGCAAAACCCCATCTCTACAAAAAATTTTTTAAAAAATTAGCCAGGTGTGGTGATACACACCTTGGGAGGCTGAGGCAGGAGAATTGCTTGAGCCTAGGAGGTGATGGTTGCAGCAAGCTAAGATCCTGCCATTGGACTCCAACCTGGGTGATGGGAGTGAAGCCCTGTCTCAAGACAAAGCAGAACAGAAAAACAAGTAAAGCCAAGGTTGTAAGGTAGAACTGGTGGGGTTTTTTTGTTTGTTTTTGTGTTTGTTTGTTTTTTTTTTTTGTCTAGTTTTGATCTTTAATCAGTGTTTTGCTTTGTTTTCATTGTTGTGTGCTAGTAGGAAATGTGGTGGAGGAATGCCTTTCCTAGTATAAGTATAGGTAAGGGTCTTCATGACCAGTATTCATACCTGCAGGGACATAAATGGTTCTGGTTTGTTTTGGAATTTTGGGTTAAGGATGGAAGTAAAGGCCCCGTTTGCTCAGAAAAGAAGATAATCCTTCAATGGTCTTCATGAAATCATGTATGGAATGAAAAATTCATTGATGGGGTGAGAGGACTCAGTGCCAGAAAGTCTTACTAGTAAATTCAGAATTCAGCCTGTTCTTACAGATCTTCTCTTTACTCCTCATCCAAACAGTGATGGAAAAAGGTCAGATAAGTAGCTCCTTGTCCCTTTAGGGAGCTACTGAATTACTGTTACTACCTTGGAGTCAATCCCCACCTCATTCCCTTCCTTTTCCCTAGTCTAAGTCTAGAATCAAGGATCGGAGAAGCATCAGCACATGCATCACCCTTTCTCCAATTTTCCTCCCCTTTCCCAGCTCCCTCAGCCTTACCCTTTCCCTCTCCTCTCAGGAACTGCACTATTGCATCTCTTCTTTTAGGTTCGGTAATTCTTTCCTTAGGAAGAGGAACAGGGCTAAGGATAGGTAACAGGGGCCGAACTGTCCATGTTTCCATCCCTAGACCCTTAAGGCTTTTGCCACACAAACCCCTTTGACCCTGGAGACTGCAACAGAGCTGCTTCTCTCCCCCTACTGAGCCTTGATGGAAACGCTGATAGGAGAGGGTGCTTCTTTTACCCACTCTCAGATCCCTGTTCTTCCTGAATCTCCTGACTTCCTGGCTGTATCAGTTAGGTTCATTGCATAGTAAACCACTCCAAAACTTTGTTTTTTATTGGCTCACATTTCCATGGCTCATGGGGATGTTTATTCTCTTGTGGGTTAGCTTGGACGGAGCTAGGTGATCTTGATGGCCTCATACACTCCTCTGGGCCCTCAGCTCAGATGGCTAGTAGATTCACATGTCTGAGTTTCTTTTCTCATGGAAGAAGAGCCAAGACTGGCCTTCTGGACATTGCAATCTCAGGTGTAGGCAGCAGGCAAGGGCAAGCATTCATACACCAATGGCTCTTCAAGCCTCTGCTTATATCACATTTGCTAGTGGGCCATATGCCCAAGCAAGTCCCACAGTACCGAGACCAGCTTGGCCATAGAGACCCCCATCCATGCGGCGCTCAAGGAATTGAGAAGCAGACACCCAGACGGTGGACCAACAGCCTTCTGAGCTGAGAGCCTCAGGGGGTTGGTAGCATTCTGGGCTGAAGGGCCTCAAGCCGACTCTAACCCATGTAGTTATTCTCTCTAAACAGGTGATGATTATTAACAAAGAGAGATTCAATATTTTCTCATAACACAAAAATAAACCGGGGAGGCAGCTGGTACCTGCTTACCCCTGATCACAGACAAACTTAAAAGTATTCTCCACGAGGGAGCCATGGGGGCAGGGTCACATATCCCATGCTTAAAAAACTGTTTTAACCAGTATATGATATTTATATAATGTCTTGCCACTTTAGAATGCCCCACATAGTTCTCCACTTGGTGGGGAGCGGGGGGTGGCTAGGTTTTCCTTGCCATCGTTCTTCCTAGCAAAAAACATATTCTATCATACACTCAGCATTTCTCAGCAATCATACACTTAACATTTCTCAACATCACAGCCCACCCAGAACCTAAGGGTGAAAAGATATAGATTCAAACTCTCATGAGAGGAGTAATAGTCTCACTGCCAAGAGGCATAGATTTTGAAATGGGATTGTAGCTGTTTTTTTTTTCAATTTAACACACTGGAAAAAGAAGAAAGGCTCTCATGTTTCCCTAGTAAACTTTCTCCTTCCAACCCTGATGCAGGTCTCCAGCTAAGGTTGGGAATCAGTGACTTTCACTAAGCGATTGTCCCTTCTTTTCTTTAGGACATGGCTTTTTGAAATTAATCCTGATTCTGTCTGCCATATCCCAAGACTTCCATTTTTTTTTCCGTTTTTCTCTTTTTTTAATTTTTAAAAATTTAAATGTCCATTTAAAAATCATCCTCATTCATGTTCCCTCTGGACACTTTCAAATAGTTTATTTGCCATTTCTTTTGGCACTTAAGATCTATCAGTGTTATTTATAAAACGTGTTATATTTGTATAGGCTATGTTCTCCCTTTCCCCTTTTCTTTTTAAACTAAGATACTTATGTTATAAAACAGCCTCCATGCTGATCCATACTTTTCTCTAGACATTTCTCTGAGCTCAGTGCTTTGTTGTTTATCATTATCCTTTGTAGCCAGATTTGAGGCCATGTTGCAGTTCTTAGAAACAAATCAATTTGAATTAATTTGCCATGTAAAGTTAACGAGGCATTGTGTGAATTCAAGATATACTATAACTATTGCATTCCCTGAGGTTATTCCTTCTCTGGGAAAATTTTGATTCTTGTATCATATTTTAATAGTGTGTATCTGACCTTTGAATCTTGCACTAAATGATACATGGCTGCCAGCTGGTTTAATTTGTGAAAAGCCTGAAAACTTCTATGCAGCTAAACAAACAGGAACATACATAGACAGTTCTTTAATTAATAACTTTATGGGGCGAGAGTTGTCTTCAAAATCGATACTCTTTGATGCTTACCTGTGCTAGGAATTCTTTGTCTAATGATGTTCTAAGCAGAAGTTAGAGAAACATCAAAATAGGGAAAATATATTTCTTAGATGGTCTTTGAGATCTCCACAACCTAAAAATTATGGACCCCTTCTCTCAAATTATAAGCTGTAAATCCCAGCAAACTCTATTCCCAGAAACTTTTTTTGTTTAATTATAAGATGGGAAAGCATTTACTCTAAGAGGGACCTCAGCGATTACCCGAAATTCCTTCACTCCCTAAATGGACATCCACATCTGTCACTAATATATTCTTTGGGAAAAAGAATTTCCTTCAAACTATAAAGACCAATTTAAACAAAATAAATAAGAAAATTAAATCTCCTCTCACCCCTCACACAGGTGAGGAAATGGTAATAGAGTTCTTCAGAGAGAATTCTAACTTCTGGGTCTTAGATGAGTAACATTACAAGTGCTTAAGGAACTTGAATTCTAAGCCCCTTTAATGTTTGCTCAGAATAGAAAAGTAGTTTGGGAAAAGTCCTAAATTTTACATCGTATAATAGGATGGATCTCTTAAACTTGGGACTGATATATCAGACTTCTCCAGTGTTTCATTTGACCAAAAAGTTGGTACACATTTAGCTAGATTTAACAAAGAATATGGTGATGGCTCGGAACTAACCTGGACTCATAAAAAAAACAAAAACAAAAATACTTGTGCACGCTAATGTAACTTTCCCTTGGAAAGCAATAGCAAATTGGCAGGTGAGGAGAATACTATAAATGTTGTGCACCGTGTATCTTCATTTCTCTAAAGAACTATACTGTGATGTACAAAGAACTATGAAGGGATCTTAAAGAGACCTGCCTGTGTGGTCCAACAGTTAAAGCTTTCTGATCACGCTGTATCTATTGCTATGTAACAAGTTACCCAATCAAGTTTGAGGTAAACCTAAATAATAAAAGTAACATTTATGATCTCACAGATTCTGTAGGTCAGAATTTGATAGCAGCTTCGCTGAGTGATTCTGGCTTAGGGCATCTGATGCATCGCAGTTGGTATGAACTAGGGCTGCAGTCATCTGCACAGTGGAAGATTACTTGGAAACCTTTTAAAATCTTTCACTCACATGGATATTGACTGGAAGCATCAGTTATTCTCTGGCTCAGTTCCTTGCCTTATGTAGGTTTCTATAGAACTTTTTCAGTGTCTTCATGACACGACTAGATCTAGCTTGCTCGAAATGAGTGGTCTGAGAGAGAGAGAGAGAGAGAGAGAGAGAGAGCGCCTCTTATGACTTAGTCTCTAAGACCACACACTGTTGCTTCTACCATATTTTACTCTGAATCAAGTCACTAAGACCAGCCCACATCCAAGGTTGGAGAATCAAGCCTCACCTCTTACACAGAGGAGTTTCAAAGTATCTTTAGATATTTCATAGCTCCATCATAATCTTCCTGTTCAGGGACTAGAATAATGCACAAAAGACATGCTTATTAAATTTGCAGATAACAGAAAGCTAAGAGAGGTATCTCCTACCAGAAACAAAAATCTTAAAGGTAAACATTTTCTTACCATGTTTGAATACTGTTATGAAACAAAAAGAATACATTTAATGACATATGATTAAATACCTGTTTGAAGTTCATAAAGTGTGTTGCATGAATGCAACATGGCACAGTTTTTGGGGAAAACCATTCAACTAGAAACTGTCTTGCGTTTTAGCTGGAAACAAGCTTAATAATGTGGTCCTGTTATGATATCGTTGTTTAAGCAACTGTTGAAAATCAGTATACTGGCCAGATCTCCTGTGGGTGGTGACTGGAACAGTGATTGTTACTTTTAGATCTTTTGGGAATAATAAGTTCATTCTTAGGCGTGGGGGTCAAGGTTGGTCTAAAATGCCTATAATTTATAAACACCGGCAATTCTATAGGATCTGAATGGAAGGATTACTACGGTGTAAGTTTATTGAGCATCAGAGGTATTAATAGTGGTGTGACTTTCCTGTTCACGGGATGAAAATGCTCCTGTGTTATGCAGTGAAATTGTCCTCCCAAACCTCTCTGTCCTCTGAGCTGTGTGGGGACACCGCATTTGCATGACAAAATGAACACATTTTTTAAAAAGTCAAATATTCTGGCATTCTGGCTTCAAAAACATTGAGTTTGATATTCTCTACTTTGACATTAAAAAAACACAAACATGAGAGGAATGAGAGGAGATGGGGATGGGGAGTGGGAGGAAGAAGGTAGATAGAAATGAAAGGAAGCAATGACACTACAAAGAAGCGTAGATCACACAGAGGGTGGACATGCGGGAAGGCATGGATCACGGGGAAGACGGAGCCCCAAAATAACACTGTGCCTTTTGCAACAAGGAGGAAATAAGTGATAAGAGGAAAGGCAACTGGGGAAATCTTGAAGGGATCATATGTCAAACAGCTGAAGAGCAAACATTAAAGCTTTATTTTGAAAAGGATATTTGAAAATATTTGACACCAAAAATTCTGTAGGGAAGTCATTCTTGTGGAGTTTGCCTTCTTTTTAATTTAACTCTTCTGAATCAGGTACTCGTTATACCAATAATAACAAATCATATATTGAGGGCTTATTATGTACCACACATTTTCAAACTGCTTTACATATATTTCCTTTGAATCCTCACAGCAATCCCATGTTGCAATTATTATGAGGATCCCCTTTTAAATATGAAGAAACTGGCCAGGAATGATGGCTCATGCCTGTAATCCCAGAACTTTGGGAGGCTGAGGTGGGTGGATCATCTGAGGTTAGGAGTTTGAGACCAGCCTGACCAACATGGTGAAACCCCATCTCTACTAAAAATATCAACAAATTAGCCAGTTGTGGTGGCATATGGCTGCAGCTACTCGGGAGGCTGAGGCAGGAATATCACTTGAACCCAGGAGGTGGAGGTTGCAGTGAGCTGAGATCCATTGCACTCCAGCCTGGGCAACAGAGTGAGACTTCATCTCAAAATACATAAATAAGAAGAAACTGAAGCTTAAAATGCTCTAAGGCATGGCTACAACTAAGCATGCTTACCAGAAAGGAGATAGACAAAATTCAGACATTGAAATCAACTACTGCAGCATCAGTGCATATTTCAGAATAATTATAGAAGGGAAAAAAGTGACAGCAATTGAAGAAGGAAAGCACATTGTATAGTCAGTTTATGTTTTGTTAATTTACAACATGGCATTTGTGAGAGGGGCTCTTAAATAAAAAAAACTGGTACCAGGCTGACTTAGCATGCTGAAGAAAGTTTGATTTGAAGTTTCTTGAAAATACTCTACTAAATTATAGGAATGAATAAAGATTTTGCAATCACCTGGGCCTAGTTTTATAAACCTAACTGTGATTGAAAGTATCCTTGATAGATGAGGAGAAATGAGCTTCAGGAACTGAGTTACAAATGGCCTCAAAATACAGAGAAAGGAGATTAGTGATATATGTTGTAATTATTGCATTAAGGTAAATCATTTTAGTATCATAAATACATCAGCAGAAATGGATATTTGATTCATTTAGGGTATGAAAGAAGAGTCTAATATTAACATGTATGCAAAAAAAAAAAAACCATGTATATTTGACCAGCACCAAAGGTCAAGGAATAGGGACATGATCATTCGGACAGCTGGACATAATACACCAGGGTTACATCTCTGGAATAGCATGGTTCTATTCCATTCCATGGGCTATCAGATATTTGGACATGATAGTCTGCATACAGTGGCTCACACCTGTAATCCCAGCACTTTGGGAGGCCAAGGCAGGCAGATCATGAGGTCAGAAGTTCGAGACCAGCCTGGCCAACATAGTGAAACCCCATCTCTACTAATAATACAAAAAGTAGCCAGGCATGGTGGCATGTGCCTGTAATCCCAGCTACTTGGGAAGCTGAGGCAGGAGAATTGCTTGAACCCAGGAGGCAGAGGTTGCAGTGAGCCAAGATTGCACCACTGCACTGCAGCCTGGGCAACAGAGTAAGACTCCATTTCAAAAAAACAAAACAAAACAAAAAACCAGATATTGGGACATGATAACTAAATGTCTACAGGTTCATCAGTGAGAGAACATGGGCAGAAGCTAGAGCTCAAGGACAATATCGAGACTGGAAAAGGTTTTAGAAGGCTCTTTAGGCAAGGATGTACCGTCACTCCCTTCCCCATGCTGTTTAAGCCTCTTTACTGGGAGAAATAACATACATTTCTAAGCCTCAGAAAAGTGTTAGGGAAAGATCCTAAGAATTAAAATAAATCACAGACTCTCTCAATTCCCAACCTTCTTTGTCTCCCCACAAGCCAAGCCCTTTCCCGACTTATTGCATTTAATTTGGATAAAATCATGCAATATAGATAATACTTTTTTAATAGATGGAGACACCAAGACTCATCTAAATTAAATAAATTGCCCAAGTTCACGAAACTGATAAATGTCTGATTGGACTTGATTCAAAGTTTGTCTGATTCCATATCCAGTGTTCTCTTCACTCATTTTTGGGCCATCTTTGCTTCAACAGTTCACCTAGCACAGCCTAGAGTTGGTAAATCCATACTACAACTTTAATTTAGAAAAGAAATGATTCCATCTTCCCATATATATTTGACATTATCAGAACATGTCCAGAAGACACTTAGAGGTGAGCTTTATCACCCAACTCAGTATATGCCGGGATGATTTGCACTTCTTTCCAGGCTCAAGGAACCACTTAAAAAGCTCCCTTACTTAATATTGCCCTTGGGCTCTGGGTCTATTAATTTACTTCCCCCAAGCGGATCAGTTTTCTGTTCCAAGACATTAATTTATTTACCTTGGCTCATTAAAGGATCAAGGCTCGCAACATATAAATAGTTCTTTTTTCTTCTACCCCAAAGGTGTGTAGTGAGGATGAATGAGATGGTGCTTATATAATTGCACTTTGAGCTCCTTGGTCGAAAGACACTTCATAAATACAAGATATTCGTTCTTTGCTGAGATCCATCTATCGCTTACAAGTGGCCAAATGTTCTGGATACCCTTTGAGTGTGCAACACCTCCCTCTCTGACTCTAAGAGAGTTGGTCTGGGACAATGCCAGAAATGTGGCTAGAGCCAACCCCAGAGTTTCTGGAGTTCCCTTCCTTTAGTGTGATATATTTTCTTTGAAACTTAGAAAGTGTTATTTGGTGAAAGACACATGGCAAGAACCTCCAAACTGCCCTACTACTTGAGGGCAGCAGTACGGCTACATTGATTTTCTTTTGCCTCTGGCTCTGATACACAGCATTTGTTCTTTGACTGTTCATTAGACCCACAGTCTGACTTTTTAGTGTGAACAAAGCAATAAAGTTTTTTTCTTTTATTTCGGTGCTCAAGACAAAAAGTCACAAATACCTTTGGCATTCATTTTGCACAGATGAATGTTGTTAGGATATTCCTATTAGCATGTCCACATGCTTGACAACATTTCGGGTGGTATTAATAGTCTACCTGCAAGAAAGTGCTTTCTGCCTGCCTGGTGCAAATTTGTAGAACCTTTAAGCCACTCTTTCTCAACTTAGCAGCAGTATATCATCATTACCTGTGGCTGGACCAAGAAATCACATTTGTCAATGCCTGAATTGCTCTTTTACTTTCAGTGGTTTTACAAATCCACTTTGTTTTGGAAATGGGCTTAGCTGAGTATATTTTAGAAGATACAGAAATACGTAA